CTTACAAATGTAGAGAATGTGGTAAAGCCTTTACTCAGCGCTCATATCTTACTAGACATGAGAGAATTCATACCAGAGAGAAGCCTTACAAATGTGAAAAATGTAGCAAAGCCTTTACTCACCATTCACACTTTACTCAACACATGAAAATTCATGATGGAGAGAAACCTTGAAACTGAAGAATCCAAGAAACCCTGTAGCTGGACCTACAGCCTCACTCAATATCTGAGAGGGCTTACTGCAGAGAAATTACATTCAAAATCAATGATGAAAGCCCTTTGTTCAAAATATAAACTTAAGGGCTGGCTGAGTGGCTCAGTTGTTTAAGAGCACGAGCTCTGAGCAACAGGGTCGCCAGTTTGATTTCCACACGGGCCAGTGAGCTGTGCCCAAGCTGAGCTGCCAACAGTTGGCTGGATGGATCAGCTTGTGAGAGCACATGCTCCTAACAACAAGGTTGCCGGTTTGACGTTCGCATGGGATGACTAAGATTGAGCACAGCACCTTGAGCTGAGTGGCAGTGAGCTGCTGACTGGCAACCGGATGGCGACTGGACTTGGAGCTGAGCTAGCTGCGCCCTCCACAACTAAGACTAAAGGGCAACAATTTGGCTGTTCTCCTTCCCCGATTCCCCAACACTGATCCCCAATTCCACTGTACTGTTCTCCTCCTCAATTCTCTAATAAAATCTTAAAAAAACCCACAGAATTCATGCCCCAAAGTGACTTTAAAGATGTAAAAAATGTGAGGAAATGTTTAATGACAATTAAATCTGAAATATCAGATAATTGACATTACAAAGTAGTCAGTGGAGAACAGTTTTCAGATATTACTTTAAATCAATACATTTAGAGAATAAGCAGATGTTTAAAAAACTTAATATGTTTGAAAGTATCAAGGGGATGGATGTTGGAAAGGTATAATTCTTTACAGTGAGTATATGTTGATAGTACTTGAGATTTGTTGAAAAGGAAATATTAATGTGATCCCACTGTCAAGTCACTTGATGTTATGTTTTTTTACTCCAACTGTGAGTCATGGGTTGTTTGTTGCTGTCTCAAACATCTGAGAGCCTTGTATGTTGGGTGGGATTCACTCAAAAATGTTTTTCCCTGGAAGACTGAGGGCACTGTAATACACAATGTATGGTGAAAATCTAAATGGAGATGCTGTTTGGTTGACTTAGAATATTGATGTAAGTCACTGAAGTAGGTGTTCAGGGCATCATTCTCTGCAGTAATGTGAGACAGGAACATTCTGAATTTTAATTAGTGTTACCAATTGCTTTTTAAGGACAATAAGATGGTGGTTCATTGAAACCCTGATGAATCTTTGTAGTAGCCTTAGAGAGGAGTAATTAATATTACCAGATGTGGTTGAAATAAGGAAGTCTTCGGAGATGTCTGAGGAAGTACAGACAACTCATCCCTAAGTGCATAAATTATTGTACATCCATGTTTCCTAAACAATGACCCTCAGTCTTCAAACCCATGGAAAACAGAGCTCTAAGGTCATTATATCAGAACAACCAGAATGCTTCTTAAATGCTTGTTATCTGTATTTTATATGTAGGTCCTACAGGTGGTTTGCCATGCTTTATTTAGACTGTGTGTGAACTTATACTTACATTAATAATAAAGCAAGTGATTTTTAATGTATTAATAGTGATGTGTAATGAATGACTTGTTATCCTGCCACCAACGTTGACCTCTCCCACCTTAGTCACGGTTATAATCAACAATGTGCTATTTGGTGATGCAGTGGAATGACAGCACTAGGAATCCTTTTCCCTGTCGTTTTAATTTGCAAATGGAAAGAGAGCCTTGCTGTCTAGAATGCCAAAGAAACACTATTTAAAGTGAAGGTTAGCAGACATGGGAGCTACATTTGGCTTGAAATGTGCATGAAGCAGCTGTTTCCTTGTGGTTAGATTCATATAATTCACTTTCCCCCAGTGATAACAGGATTGATGATGAGTTCACCAGTGTGCATCAGGCAGCCCAGACCAATTTGTCCCATCACAGCTGGTGTTACCTTCATCCACTTGGTTCAAGACTTGTGTGCCCCATTCCTCTATGATATTAACAGTTTTCCTATTTCCACTAATAAGGATTTGGGGGTATTTACTGAATGTTGTGTATAAAGAACGACATTTACTCTAGAAACTCCTTCCTTCTGAGTTTGTCTTTCCTTGATTTTGCTTTAGACAATGAAAACTCTGACCTTTGTTTATTACAGATACTAGTTTTTACAACTGGAGGTTCTAAGTCAGGCCTAAGTCCTGTAAGATTCCCTTTTATTCCAAAGGCATGTCTGACATACTCAAACTCTTCTTCATGTCTTTGTCTTATTTTCAAAAGAAAAAAAATGAGAGTAATATAGTTAATAGATGTTTGAGTGTCTCCAAAATCTAACATATAATTCAGCACAGTGATAACTAAACATTTTTCAGTAACGTTTGCACTCATAAATAGCTTTTATATGAGTTAACACCCATTTGGGCATGTTTTTCCTCATAGTATTTTTAAACCACCCAAAAAACTTCATCCACAAATAGATGCATAAGTTTCTACAATTGAAAACATTTCTTCATTTCAGTGACATTGAAATTTTCCCACTGTGTCACTTTTGCCATGTACATAGTTACTTTTTAGGGATATGGATGTGTGCCTAAAATGTAAAAGTTACTTGATGAATTCTCTTTTGAACCTTCTTGTTTCCATTACTCTTCTCAGTTACAAAATCTGCTATGATAATTTGTTGATGATTTTCTCTAAATATTAGCCTTGTATGTGTCTGTCTTGTAGATAAATTCCAGGTTCGAAAAGCTAGATTGCACCCCAGGTTCTAGTATTTACTGGATGATGACACAAGTAAAGAGTTAACTGGAGTGTCCTTATGAGCTGGCAGGATGGGACAAGCACAGTTAACAGTAGCGAGCTGTGAGCTGGCAGGAATGAGCTTAAAAATTCACTAGTTGGCTCTGAATCCCCTGATTATCACTGCAGCTGCAAGCCGAAAAGCACCTTACATCCATCATAGGTGGGAACAGGACAGTTCCCAGAAGACAAGTGTAACGGCAGCCTCCCTGCATGCTAACAAGCACCCTACATCCTCCATGGAAAAATATAACTCCAGGTAAACAGAAACCCGCCACAGCTGTCTCCATTAGACTCTGCCCTGGCAAAACTCCCTTTGCCAGTATTTCTCTTCCAAGCAGAACTCTCTCTACCTGACTTTACACAAACCTTTTCTTGCTATTTTACTTCATAGAGTGTCGTGAATTCCTTCACATTCCTGAACGACCAGCGGTTAATTCTACGCCAGGACACTGGATATTGGAAAATATAAAAGAAAAATAATATTCCTCTCAGACTATTTTTTGTAGTTTTATGCATTAATATTAGAAACAGAATGCTGTCTAATTGTTCATAAAAAAATACTGCTCATACAGGAATGGTCTGCCATTGTTACTACCGAAGAACCTTTCATTTCTGTAAAATTCTTTCCTTTACAAGTCATTCATCAGGTCTTGCCATGTTTTTACTGCTTTTTTTTGTTTGTTTGTTTTGTTTTTTTTTTGTTTTGTTTTGTTTTTTTTTTAGCTGAGCCATCCCGCCACCTGTTGGCAGCTCACGGCTGCTCAGCTCGGGCTGACTCGAACCGCTGTTGCTCAGAGCTCAAACTCTTGNGCAGTGTCACTGGCCCTCATATGTGGGATCCGAACCGGGGCCCTCTGGCATCCCAAGCGAGTTCTTAACCATCGCGCCACTCGGCCGGCCCTTGTGATGCTTTCTTGACGTTTGGAAGAAGAAACAGCCACTATCCCAGGCTGTGTGGACCTGCTTTGTACAGAAGAACACAAATAACAGGCAGCTGTGCTTGAAATTCTGAGGCCTGTCAAACCGGTTTTTCAGATGTACTGTGTTTTTTGCACGTAATTTTCCAGTTTAAAATGTTTTCCGTTTCTTCTTTAGAAGCAGTAGTATCTTCCTATCCTTGATGATTGTATACAGTACTGCAGTCTTTGTGGTGTTTGAACAATTACTCACCTTTTTTCTTAGTGACCACCACACTGCATTCACATTGCACTGCCATTCCCTTAGCACTTGGTGTCATGCAGAAGATAAATGAGCCCCTTAAGCAGCTGCAAAAAGCATGTCTATTGCATACGAAGTTCACTCATCTGTTTCCCTCCTGAGAAGAAACTGGCCGTTGGGGTTTTCTAACAACATTGCCCTGTGTGCCAGGGATGGTGAATAGCTATTAGCTACTGTTGGCGAATGTAAGCAACTTTCCTTCCTCCTCTAATGTGACTCTTCCATATGGTTTGTTTTCCTGGACATGGTTTCTGAGTACTTCTGGAAGCTAGTGGGGTCAGTAATTGTTGCTAAGTTCATGTCTCCATGGAGGGCAGAAGTTTTGGTGTTTCCTCTTATGCCATCTTGTTAAGTCCTGTAATCAGTATTAAAGCTTTGTACATTAGAATTGAAAGTATATTCACCTATGTGTAGTAAGAGTGATAATTTATTTGGTGTCTTTCAGCTCTGTCTTCTGAGGACACCTTGGACTTGTTGCCAAACCCAGGAATAGAAGATTCATTCCACAAAATGCTATGGGTAAGATATGGAAGGTGTGGTCTTGACAATCTGCACCTAATGAAAGAGTGGGAATTAGAGAGGAATGTGAAGGGCTGAAGGATGTTATCGTGGACATAACCAAACTGGAACAGTTATTAATAGCAAAATCTCGTTGCCATAGAGATCAAAGGTATAAGACATGTTGTGACACCCTGCACTTTAAGGCAGTTACATTACCAGAACATTTGTTTCTGAATATAAAGCTAGAAAACAGTTTACTAAAGATATATATTCTTTGAAAGGAAATGTGGAATATTTGGGAAGTTATGTAATTCATGGTGTGATAATCATTGGAATCATTTAAAATGTAGGATTAGATTAAACTTTCAGTCAAACACTTAAAAATCAGAGATGTAAAACTGAAGATAGAAATTTTAAATGTGATCAATTTTACAGTCTGTTGACCAGGCTTTTATTATTCTTTCACCAAGAAATAATCCCTCCTTGTTCCAAATTTGGTAACTTTCACAAATGTGGGAGGGTATCATGGGTAATGGGGAACAACTTGACCTGTTTGATGAAATTAGAGTCCTCACTGAAGGTCTTTCTGTCTTTATTGATTCCCAGAGTACGTGTAATGATGAGAGAAGTTATCAATTCAGTGAATCTTGGAAAAATGTTAAACAAGGGTCAGATCCTAATAAACATCAAACAATTCAGTTTCTAGAGAACCATTGTACACATGGGAAAGTCTTTCATGAAAGCTCAAGTCTTATACATCAGAATAGTTATATTGTAGAGAAGTCAAACAAACATCGTGAATATGACAACATGTCATTTAACCAATCTTTATATCTTACTGAACATGAGAATATTCATCCTGGGGAGGAAGCTTACAAATGTGTTCCGTGTGGGAGAGTCTTTAGTCGATTATCCAGCCTAAACGGACATAGGAAAATCCATACTGGAGTGAAGGCTTACAAATGTAGAGAATGTGACAAAACCTTTATTCAACTTTCAAACCTTGCTAGACATGAGAGAATGCATACTGGAGATAAGCCTTACAAATGTAGAGAATGTGCTAAAGCCTTTATTTGTCGTTCGTATCTCCCTATACATGAGAGAATTCATACTGGAGAGAAACCTTACAAATGTAGAAAATGTGGTAAAGCCTTTAATTGGCATTCATCTTTTATTAAGCATGAGAGAATTCATACTGGAGAGAAGCCTCACAAATGTAAGGAATGTGGGAAAGCCTTTCATTGGCGTTCACATCTTAGCGAACATGAGTTAATCCATAGTGGAGAGAAGCCTTACAAATGTAGAGAATGTGGGAAAGCCTTTACTCAGCACTCAAATCTTGCTGTACATATGAGAATTCACACTGGAGAGAAGCCTTACAAATGTGAACACTGTGGCAAAGCATTTGCTCAGCATTCAACTCTCACTGAACATAGGAGAATTCACGTTGGAGAGAAGTCTTTCAAATGTAGAGAATGTGGTAAAGCATTTATTCAACGTTCATATCTTACTAGACATGAGTTAATCCATACTGGACAGAAGCCTTACAAATGTCGAGAATGTGGGAAAGCCTTTCACCTGCGCTCTAAACTTACACAACATGATAGAATTCATACCGGAGAGAAGCCTTACAAGTGTAGACAGTGTGCTAAAGCGTTTATTCAGCGTTCATATCTTACTAGACATGAAATCACTCATACTGGACAAAAGCTTTACAAATGTAAAGAGTGCGAGCAAGCCTTTCACCTGCACTGTAAACTAACCCGACATGAGA